AGGCTATTTTGTAAAATTCACACAAAAAAATATTTTAAATCAATTAAAATATAAAAAAAAAAAATTATGTAAATGGAACTAGAGACAAATATTTTGTAAAAACAAAATTGTTTCTATAAGAACACTTGGGACCCGATGTAAAGTGCCTCTTTCTTTATATATATATATATATATATATATAACATGGTGAACTAGTCAACACTAAATTTGCCTGCACAATCTCTGTTCTTATGTAGGTGTTCGCAATGGCGGAACTATAAAAGTTCATAAAACCATTTCCTTTTATTGTACATTTTAAAAAAAAAACGGGTCCCGTTGAAGCCTGAAGTTTCGAGCGCCCAGTCCATCACCGTCTTTTTTTTTAATATGTCTTTAAAATTAAGTTTTATACTTTTATTTCGATCATATATATATATATATATATATATATATATATATATATATATATATATATTTAAAAAAAAAAAGCGTAAACGTTTTTTTGGTTATAATGTGGATTTGTTTTAATGTATATATTATATTTTATTCTTCATATTTTTTGCTGCACGTGTTTCCGCTCTCGTGACCTTCTTCAGGCAAATTAAAGGAATCGTTTTTTTTTTAAAGAAATAAGTTTTCCTTATGTTCTTTTAATGTTTCATTTCAGTGTTCATTTTCTGTATTTGTAGTGAGCCTTGTTCACATTTTTAGACTGTTGGCAAAAGTGAATTTCTGCCTAAGCGGTAATAGATCATTATACCGGAAACACGTGCAGCGAAAATATGAAGAATAAAAAAATAATATGTACACTCAGACAAATCCACATTATAACACAAAATGTTTGCGGTTTCTCTCTTTTTTAAAAATACACACACACACACACACACACACACACACACACACACACACACACACACATATATATATATATATATATATATATATATATATATATATATATGTATAGTCAAACTTAGTGAGCCAGACAAACCTACCCAGGTTTCACCTAAGCGGATCGTTCTGTTCTTTTTTTCTTTGGTCACGTGGTATAGTTTTGATTATCGTTTATAAATATGCCGTTTCTCTTTTGCCTCTCTAGCCAGCTTTCCCTGACGATTCGATTAGGTGAAACCTTGGTAGGTTTGTCTGGCTCACTAGGTGTATCTAGGTCTGCTCTACGGTTGTATTGAGCTATTTTAGTTAGTTGCTTACTCGTGTCGGAGTTTTTTTTGGGGGCTTCAAACCTGTATCTGTGCGATTTATTCGACAGACTTTCATGTTCCTGGTCTTTTTTTTTTTTTTAAACCTTTTTTTCCTTTGAGATTGATTTGATTATTAGCAAATCAAAAATTCGAAAGTTTTTTCGAGACGAGTATAGTTACCTATTCATATATATATATATATATATATATATTTGTCTATATATATATATAAGTTAAACGTGAAACCCAGGTCACAAACCTCACATCTATTCAACAAAATATATATATATATATATATACGATATATATATATATATATATATATATATAGTTTAACTTTCTAGGTTTAACTAGGTCTGCTCTACTTACCGGATTGAGCACTTTATTTATGTTATTTTGCCTACTCGTATCGTTTTTTTTTCTTTCGGCTTTGGACTTTGCATGCTAGACGATTATTTTCCGCTAACGTACATGTTCTTGGCTCTTTCTTTTTATACCATTTTTTCCCCTTTGGTATTGGTTTGATTATTTGCAAATCAAGACACCGAAGGTTTTCGAACAGTATAATTTCTTATACTTATAAGTTTACTGCTACTACTACTAATATATATATATATATATATATATATATATATATATATATATATATATATATATATATATATATTATTATTATGATGTTGATTTGGGGTTAGTAGAGACAAACGCCAAATAACACGTAAGAATAAAAAATTTTAATAGGTTTTAAAAAGGTTGCCTGTAAAAACTAGCTCAGCTAAAACTGACATCTATCTTCCCCATGTCAACTGATATGCCACTATTTAAAGTCTTTGTTCACAGACGCAGACAAGTTCATCTTCAAGAGGGTGGTAGGTTTCCGACACAACATATATATATATATATATATATATATATATATATATATATATATATATATGCTAAAATCTAATTTTAATGTATAGTGTATTTCTGGGTTATTGTCTTCTATATTAAGGAGAGAGCGTGTAAAATATAAGATTGGACACTGAGATCGCCTGAAGATTGCTCGCATGCATGAAACAGACTCTCACCATTCTATATTGACGTCAATATCCAATTCTATATTCGTAGTTATGTATTTGTGTGTATGTAACTTTATATAATTTCATTAATTAAGTAAGGCGGGGGTAACAGATGTAAAAAAAAAAATTCTGCCAAGATTTTCTAAAAATAAAGATTTCTAAAATAATTTAATTCATTTGTCAATAAGTCCTGAAAGGTTCATTAAAATCCGACAATTATTTGAATTTTGCAAGAATTTCCAGATCTATGTGTATTTT